AAAAAAGGTCCTCATTTGTACAGTGGTGAGTAAAAAAAAAAAAGAATTTAGCACAGAAATATTCAGTTGACCATTATCTTCACTCCACACTGCATACAACCCAGCTGCATTTCATCACTGTCTTCTTCCACTTTGCAGAACTCCTAATACACATCTGCATTCTACTTAATTCTAAGTCTGTTCTTACAGAGGAACATACTGAAGTGTATTCTTCTGGGAAGAAAAGTAAGTATTCCTAACACATCAAAGCACAATATCAGGGCCGGCCAGTTAGCTCACTCGGTTAGAGCATGGTGCTGATAATGTCAAGGTCAAGATCCTTGTACCCGCCAGCTGCCAAAAAAAAAAAAAGAAAGAAAGAAAAAGCACAATAACAAATATTAACATATGTCATTTTCCTCAAGTTATTCCATCTTGTCATGCCTGCAATAGTGCTACTCTGCCCCTTATTCATTGGCCCAGAAAATCCATCAAAATCTCTGTTAGATTTTTTGTGTGTGTGAAAGGTGACTGCCTGATTCTAAATTTATATATAAAATATTTTTAAAACTTCCCATAAGTCAATAATAAGAAAGCAAACAACCCAATAAAAATGGGCAAAATATATTGACAAATGCTTCACCAAGAGGATATATGGAAAGCAAATTAATATCTCAATGAGATACTACTATAAGTTTGTATCCCCAGACAAGACAGCCACCAAAAACAAATAAAAAAACCACTATACACCTATTAGAATGGCTAAAATTAAAAATGCTTATCATACTAAGTGTTGATGAGGTTGTGAAGCAACTGGATCTTACATATATATTTCTGGTAAAAATGCAATGTGCAGCAGTCAATTTGGAAAACAGCTGGGCAGTTTTTTGTCAAGCTAAATATAGACTTAATATGTGATCCAGAGCTGGCTGGTTAGAGCACAGCCTTATAACACCAATGTCACGTGTTCAGTACCCATACTGGTCAGCTGCCAAAATATATATATATATATATGTGTTTATACATAAAATTATATATATGTGACCCAGCAATCTCCTTCCTTGGGTATTTACTTGGAAAAGTTGAATGCTCACAAAAAATTATATACAAAGGTTTATAACGGCTTTATTTGTAAACATCAAAACATAGAAATAACCAAATATCTGTTTTATTTTATTTTTTGAATACTAGCCAGTAGGCAGATCTGAACCTTTGTCCTTGGTGTTGTATGGTTGTGCCAGTCTTAAATAGTTTTCAACTGGTGAATGGATAAACAAACTCTGGTACAGCCACACAGTGGAATACTGCTA